AAATGTGCGATTTTGATGCATTTTCGGCCTTAAAATGGCCGCTATTCGGCTATCGTTAATCGGATCATGAAAAAAATGCATGTGCATATGTCCCATATAAGGTGTGATGTATGAGTGAAGTTTGAACTTAATTGGTCCATGCATGTTCAAGATACAGGTGATCACGGACGCACGGACGCACGGACGCACACAGGGCAAAACATAAGTCCCCGTTTTCGGACTGCGTCCGAACGGGGACTAACAAAACGTGATGCTACCGTTGTAGCATTTAGAATGGTATTTGTAGTATTCATATGGTGAACATTTCTTTGTTATAATAGTTACCATGCCAACAAACCCCACATGACATAAATAATATGAAAATGAGTTATTTACCTTAAGTTGTTCAATACTACCTCTAGGATACAATACACCCTTGGTCATGATAGCTTCAGCAAGATGGCCGTCATCTCCTAGCTATGTATAGATATAATAAAAGATGGGATAAGTGTCAAGGGTAGATAATAATCAAGGGCAGTGGACTGAACATGACACTGTAATCACATTTTAGGCCAAATTTGCTTAGATTCTACTTAATACTAGTGAATGTAATCTAGTATACCATACTAGTGGTGATGTACATATATACATGTAGTATAGAAACAGATGAATAATTTGTACACTAATATCAGTATTGTCATAAGTTGTTCAAAACATATGGCGTATAATTGGCATATTCTCCAATGTATGAAACAAACTTGTTCAGCAACAAGTACATGTAAGAACAAGATAATTAGTAACACTTTTTGTTAGATTTTGTGGAACATGCGATAATATGTTCCCCCTACATGAATGGTAAATTTGAATGGACATAATTGAAGATCTTGATAAAAATTTGTGCAAAAGTTCTGAAAAAAACAAATTAAGCAGCTTTGATTTGTGAAATGTGACTATTTAAAAGTTGATATTGACATTAAAATAATTTTAATGTCAATTTACAAATGCCATGTGATAGGACCTGATATTGTCACTACAACAGAGTCAATACATTTGTATAAATTAGTCTGTGTATTATTCCACAGTTTCATAACAATCAGATGAGCCATATTTAGAATACCAGTCAAACAGACATTCAGACACATACAGGGTAATCATTGTGTGAGTTAAAAAGTAAGGTTGGATACTGTAAAATACTTCATTTTAGCTGGAATTAATTTTCACTGAAAAGACTTTTAAGGTGTTTTGTGTGGAATTTATTTTCACTGATTTCTGATGAGTTGAATGTAAAATATAGGAAAAAAGGTATATTTGCTGGATCTTATTTTCACTGAATCATACCTCTGTAAATATTGTGATAGCTTCTTTAATGTGTTTCATGCCTTCTTCAATAGCCTCCTCAGGAGACAATGAACTGTCTCCTCCCAAACCATTCCAAGACTCTAGATTGAATGCTAGGGTCATTAAGGATAAACCCATCTTGAACTGGAATTCATGAAATGTAATAGAACATGTGTTCAGTCTGTAGGTAACAGAAGTGTGGGATGGGATGGAATCAGAGGAGAATGGCACAGGAGTTGAAATGAAAAAAGATGACAGGAAGTATGATAAGTTGGATGAATTATGTTGAGAGAAAAAGGGATGCAAAGCAAAGGGATAAAATTAGATGGGTGGAGTGGGGGAAGTTGGATGAAAAGGATGAGATAATAAGAGATGGAGTTGGGGAAAAATATGTAAAATAATGAGATGAGAGAAACAGGGATGGGAGGCATGAAATGAGTAGGGACAAAAGTGAAGACACTAAGATAAAGAAAATAGAGTAGCCTAGATGCAATATTTCTATTGTTAAAAAAAATAAATATAAAATATCAAAGCTTGAGAATAATGAGATAAAATTATTCAGAATCTATCATTACCTTATGTTGGTCACCAGAAAGAGTTTCTCTAATTTTAATAGATTTTCTTCCATACTCGATGGCTGGACGCAATTCACCTATTTGACTACGTTGAATAAAACTGTATAACTTTAAAATCTAGGATGAAAATATGATGTTAAATTTGTTATTAGCAGTATATTTTCTCTATGAGTATATAAACCAAATATTGCTTTTACAGCGGTTTTAAGAATTATTTGGATAGGCAGTCAGTTAGATGGCATACAACTTTGTGAAACACTTGGCTTTTATTTTGTTCTAGACTTGACACACTGTTAGACTCATAGCATGGTGTATCTAGCATTGTAATTTTATGGATTGTTAACATGAGAATTTTCTAATCTCGTGTACATACCATCATTCATCTATGTGATTCAAGAGTGTTAAGACAAATCAAAATGATGTGTTACTGCATTCCAATGAATGTATATCATCATGAAAATTTGCGCTTTACCCTTCATCTTGAATAATGGATTTATCTAAACTCTGTGATTGTTGATAGAACAGCACCTTCAAGTCCAGAGTGGACAAAAAAGTGCTTTGCAAAGTTGCAAGCCATCTTGCTAACTAACTGTCCGGATAATTCTCAGAGTGCTACATATGTATAAGATATAACTAATTTTTGTTCATAACGTATTTTGATCACTGGTAACATAATGGTTGTTACCTACATTACCTAATAACCTGGTGTTCAATTTCCAATTTGTTTATTTAAAGTCAGTTTGAAATACCTAGCAAAAGGCTACTCACTTACTACTAAAAATTACATCAAACAAAAGCAAAAATTACAAACATCAAACACAGAGAAAAACAACATCCTAATGATAAAATATCCTAAAATGATGGTGACCACAATGACACCATTTGCTTAAAAGAATACAAATCTTTGCACTCCTTCATTCGATTAGGAAGCGAGTTCCACATTTTAGCACCATAATAAGACAATGACTCCAGTCCATAGCGTTTAGTCCTTGGTCGTTTTAACTGTAATTGATGAGAATTTCTTAAATTGTACATTACATTTTTCTCTTTGTATAAATCCCATATAAAAGATGGGGAGAGTTTGTTCACGCTTTTATAAACTTCAACAAGTATGTCACGATTCCTGGACATCTCTAGTGCTTGTAGTCCAGCATGTTCTAATAAAGTTTGATAGCTGGACTGAAAATCATTGTACACATATTTCAGAGCTCTGTATTGAATACGCTCCATCTTAGCAATGTTTACTTTACCACAAAAATTCCAAACTAAAGAACAATATTAAGTAAAATGTGATAAAATAAAACATCAAAATATACATAGTCTTGAGGCTTGATCTAAATAGCCAGACATTCTTTGCAAAACCTTCAATTGGGCACCTGCCCTTTTACACAGAACATTAACATGATGATGAACATTTAAATTCTGATCAATATTAATCCTGAGCAATTTAACACTAGTTTCAGTTTCAATAGCAACACCTCCAATAATAAAAGTGGTATTGTCAGATTGGTCATTTAATATAATTGCTTGAAATTTATTTATATTAGCTTCCATCATGTTATCTTTGAACCATTTGACAGCTATTTCTGACTTTTGAGTTAAGTTGTTTATCAGCTCATTTTTATTTGCACCAGTAGCTGATATAGTATTGTCATCAGCATAATTATAAAGTGATATATTTCTAGATATTGCAAAAAGGTCATTTACAAAAGTATTAAAAAGTACTGGCCTTAAAACAGACTCCTGTGGGAGCCCCCTTACATAAACTAAGCCAGGGGTCAATGCCACTATTTGAGTTTGTATTGCACCAGGGGGTCAATGCCACTAACCAAGTTTGTATTGCACCAGGGGGTCAATGCCACTATTTGAGTTTGTATTGCACCAGGGGGCCAATGCCACTATTTGAGTTTGTGTTGCACCAGGGGGCCAATGCCACTATTTGAGTTTGTATTGCACCAGGGGGCCAATGCCACTATTTGAGTT